ATGAGAAAAGTGTAATTGCTGCCATTTACACTGACTGTTAAAACTTTTACAGCAATATCTTTCAAGGTATTTAAAAATCAGCACTTTTTTTGTTGGCAACGTTTGATGAGAAGACTGGTATTAGCGCCAGTGCATCTACTGTGTAAGCCTTCAGCGTATTTTCCTGCATTTACTTTGGGTCGGAAGTTCTTCTGCTGTTCGTGTGAAATGGGTCCGACCTAGTAAAAAATTGAAGTGTTATATTAAAGATGAACTTTGTGGATACTCAGAAGTGACCAACATCCGGCTCAACTCAAAATGAAATGGCAACTCCACCTAAGATGAAAAAAGTAAAAAAAAAAAAAATTAATAATAATAAAATAATAAAAAAAACTGTTATTTTAATAATTTTTAAATAATAAAAAAAATAATAAAAAAACTTTTTTATTTATAAGTATTAAGTACAAGCGTGAGCTATGAGAACTAGAGGAAGGGTGCTGCTGCTCTGCATTTTGGCCGCAGGTGACAGGTATTGTCAGAAAACCCCATAATACCTCTTTAAGGAATGAACTGCATCTACATAACACAAATAAGTGTGAATGTTATATGATCCTTAGAAATAAAACCAGTTGCCCACAATCACATTCAGTGGTGTGGAAAGACTTTTTGAAGGGATAGGGCCAAAAAGAAAAAAAAAGGGCAAATGTTTTGGCTCCAGAGAGGATAATTAACACCCGTTTTGACTCAAGAGAGAAAGGGCACTTTAGCACACACTTTGACTCAAAAAACGTCCATTAACATGTGCTTTGACTCAAGATAGGGCCCTTTTGCAAATGCTATGGCTCCTGCAGTCGTACTTTAGCACCTGCTTTAGCTTCAGAGAGACCTCTACTTCACAGAGAGCGGGCATTTGAGCCCATACTTTGGCCCGAGAGAGGGCCCTTTAGCATATGCTATTGCTCCAGAGAGGGCACTTTAGCATGCAAATTTGGGTCAAGAAACTGGCCTTTAGCATGTGCTATGGCTTCTGAGCTTCTGAGGAATTTCAAAGTCGTCCTGGATTTTGGTGGACTACAGTCCTGCATGTAGTTGAAACACACCGGACATTCCAACCAGGCCGTCAGCTCTGGGGTACGCCCGACCCAACAGCATTACAGGGCGGGTGGGGGGAAGCACGGAAAAGGCTTTGCACCTGGTCGGTTTTTGGTCGCTCCGTCCCCGGCAGGCTCGGTTCGAATGCCCGGTCCGGTCCAGTTCCCAAAAAAAAGTGTCCCCCTTTTCAGAAACCCAAATCTGGCCACCATACTTTAGCTTCCATTTTGACTCCTGAGAGGGTCCTTTAATATGAGCTTTGACTCGAGAGAGAGCACCTTAGCATGTATTTTTTGACTCCAGAGAGAGCATATTACCACTTAAGCATGCACTTTGGCTTCAGATATGAACTTTTGGCACCTGTTTTGGCTCCAGAAAGCACACTTTAAAACCCATCCTTACCCACTATGCCCACATCACTGGTCAAATTGCCACTAAAGCAGAAATTGGTGTCAGCCTGACGAGGGCTGGGTATTATAAACTTATATTGTTATTTAGTTAGGGGGTATCAAACTTAATGACGTAAAGGTATTTTTTTTCAATCAGCAGTGATTTGTATGACTATATCCAAAACATTAGCCCAGCAGCTGCAGATCAGCAAATCTAGAGACATATCTACCAAAGGGTGAAAATTGTTTACCTCTAATTGAGGGCTTTAATAAGCGTTCTATTGAAACTTGGAAGCTTTTGTTCAAACAGTCCAGAAAATGATGAGTTGTAATGGAAGATAATGGCAGTGCACAAAAGTGATTGCTACATTAATTCCTGACATTTCCTCCCACATACTCTCTAAAGACTACAAACAAAGAGTGATTGGGGGGTTTGCAGGCTACCAAACATGCCATGGTTCTATTACTGAAAAGCCATGGCTTGGTGCCAATGAGCTTTCCTTGTCATGCTGTGTGTCCAATCTGTGTCCTGTGCTGACTAAGATCTTCCATTCCTCATATCTGCATGTTAGATTAAATATTTACTGCTTATGATTTAAAATAATGATCAAGAAAAATAACATTTCTGATAATGCTATGAATTTGCATGAGTTTATGTTGAAATTCCTCTTTCTTGTTTGCCCTTATTAAAATTCAGCACCAGTTGTGCATTAGAAACCGTGTTTACGAGTACGCAGAGACAAATAACTACTCGAGTTACATAATAGCTTGGTCACACATAAAGCTTTTGGAAAGAAATGCTCATTGCAGTGGACGCTTTTAATATCATTCTGGTTTCCGTTTGGCACAGAGGGGACTTGTGTGCCTTTACCAGCGCCAGCTTGGTGCAGGCAGGTTTCGTTTTAGCACCCCAGCGGGTATGGTGAAGATCATTGCATTGGCCAGATAAAGAGAGGGAAGAAAGGGAGGTGCAAACAGAGTGAAAGAGATATGGTGGAGAGGAAGTGTTAACTTGAGTAACGGGATTATGTGGAATGCAGTGAAGGGGAGAGGGCCTGTGTCCGCTTGTTCAGCTTTTGCTCTGGTCAAATATTACTTGAATGGATGAAAAATACCAGCATTCACTTTTAGTGAGTGATTATGGGTGTTCTCAGAGCAGGATGGAGTTATATCATGTTTTTCCAGATCATAATGGTGTAAAAAAATGAAAATGAGAGAATTTGAATGGAAAAAAAAATGTATCTGGCAATCAAAGCTAGTGGTTACAGAGTTACAAAACATTTTGAAATACATGAAAATTATGCTTTAGTTCCTAGTACTGAATCCTGTAATATTTGTTTGTGTTTGTTGCTTTGAATAGTACTGAGGTAATAATATAAAGGATTGGAAATATTGTGTTCTGCTGCATCAGGACAGGATAATCTTATAGTTTTATTCATACTTATGGCTTTTTCATTGTACTTGTACCCTAATCCTAATATATAACAGGACAGTATGTACAAAAAATATTGCTTTAATAAATACATACATATATACATAAATACATATTTTGCTAAATTCTAATAACATCATATTAGAAATGAAAGTGTTCTTATAGTTCAGAAGTAGCAGTTTATAAATGCATAGAGGGTGGTGTACCTAGAGGGTGACGTCATGTTGCGTCACCATTTTTGATCAGAGTAGCTTAAATGGGACAAAATTCTCAGCCTTGCTTGTTTTATCTGTATCTGAAAATGTGTTTAGGTGCAGGAGGAGTTTAAGGATCAACTAGACTCAGAGAGAGATCAAAGTGCTTTGTGGATGCCATACAGTTGTCAGATAATTGTTGGCTAAATTAAAGATGTTCAAGCAGTCACTTCAACTTTCCTTCCTTAAGCACTTGGAAAACAAATCTTTATCAGCAGATACAGCCCAGCAACTAAAATGTTATTAAAACCCACCACAGCGTCACTAACCTGGTCAGTAAATTGTGTTTTTCACAGCATCAAATCTATGGTAAAGCAATGCCAGAAACATATCTCCTATTACACTGTGTCTTTCTATTGTATTTTTGCTTTCATTGCCATTATAAGAGAAGACAGTTATGCAATACAGTGAATGTTCTGCTTTTTACTTAATATCACTAGGATTAAAAAAAAGCCAATATAATGTAACATACTTAGGTTAGCTAGCCTGTAATGGACTGCTTATCCCACCTAATGGCTTCTTACCACGCCTACTGTTGCTTTTAAAACTGTCAATGCTGTACACTTGTTTCTAGTCATTGGAATGCTTACCAGCCCATTCCTTGTTTTCATACTGAATTGAAGAATGATTTTTAACAAGAAACCATAGTGAATTAAATTACATGCTACTGTGTAAAGAAGATAAATAAGACAAGGCTGCTATTATCATGCACAGTGGCTTTATCCAGTGAAGCATGTTTATACCATATCAAAACAAATACTTTCATCTAGTAAAAACCAAAGTAGTAACCAGAAGTTATTACGGAATCTTTTTCTTCCTGACTAATAAAGTCATTTATTTAATCAATTTAAAAGCTTAAAAATGTAATTAGGACTGTAACTAACTATTATTTTGCAATCCGATTAAATTAAACCAGGTGAAACTAAACTTTTCCACTTGAGGAATTCTGGATAGAGCATATTGTCAGAAAACATTTTTTTTCTTATCTTAAATGCAAAATATTAGCATATCTTTTTTTTTTTTTTTTTACAATTTTGTTAGAATTATTGCTCTAAGTGGGTTGCTCTATCAGCTATAGACATGTTTTACAGTCTCTATAGTCCAATTTGTTGACAATTATTACCGTAAGTGATTAATCGTGATTAATCTAATTAATTGTTTCAGCTCTAAATGTTACTATTATATCTTATTCTTGTTTCTAGAATAAATGAAAACATCTAAAAATTGTTGTGTTGTACAAATAGAATCTTATAGATATTATATTTATGGAAGCAAATACCAACAGTGTAGGTACTCTATGCAGAAGAGATGAAGCCATCTGCCTTGGCTCTGGGCAGAGAGCATACAGTATAAACAGCCTTTAGAGAATAATTCACTGTTGTCCGGATGGCCGAGTGCCCGTCCATTTAAATCGAAATGAAAGGAATGCTTGGTTTACAGTGCTTTGAGGTGTCATACAATTCAAGCTTGTAAATCGGTATTTTTTTACTTTTTACTGATTCACAAGATGGTGTTGTGGAATTCATTCTAATTCATTCTTTAAAAAAAAAAAAATCAGAAAAAAATATTTCCTAAAGCTGAATGTAGATGAGTCAGCCTTCCCCATTCTTAGAAAGTCTTGTGCTTTATCATGCTGACCTGTGTGTTTCCAGTGGGAGGCATTTTAGATAATTTGGATGCTGTTATCGTACAATTTCACCTGTACTTTTATAAGATGCTTTCACGTGTAACCCGAGTATAAGGGAATGCATAAGTGATTAAATAATAGGAATAAATCTAATAAATTACAATAGTTTTAGCATTGTGTTTGAGATAGTCTAAATGTTTCTTTCCCTGTTTCCCTTTTTTCCTCAGGACTACACGCTGACCATGTATTTCCAGCAGTACTGGAGGGACAAGCGTCTAGCCTACATAGGAATCCCTCTGAACTTGACTCTGGACAACAGGGTGGCAGATCAGCTATGGGTCCCTGATACTTACTTTCTCAATGACAAGAAGTCTTTTGTTCATGGAGTAACAGTCAAAAATCGCATGATTCGCCTGCATCCAGATGGGACTGTCCTGTACGGACTCAGGTACGGTATGCTTTCTTTCTAATTAGCTTCTCAGGCCCATACCCCTAAACAATGGAGTCTTTACCTATTTTTCAATGCATACTGTAGTAAATTCTCTAGAGTGCAAGGTAAATCAACCAGGTTCATCTCCATATACGTTTAACAAATCAATTACACATTTCAATAAACAGCCTCAAATGAATAAAAAAGCAAACAGAGAAAGTTAAACAAGGTTTTTAGAGCACTATCCATAGATGTATGTTTACTGTCTGGCTTGTTTATACTGATACATACTCTCCTGGGATACTTGAACTTGTCAGTCCAGTAGGCCATAGGAGGACCCTCTATGCAGACACTGAAATAAAAACAAATGGATTGAAGCTCGTAAAATTCAGCCTTAACTGTATTTATGCTTTTAAATAATCCAGCTAGAGACATAATCGTTTTGGACTTAACTAAATAATTTTACATGAAAAAATAAAGAAATCCCAAGTCCCAATCCCAGTCTTTAGACCCAGCTTATTACATTGTTAATCTGAAGAAATAAAAGAGTTGATTATGGGGTTATTACATAAAAAAACAAAACAATAAAAAAATTTAAAAAAACTGCTCAGCAATTGGTAGAAAAGGTTTGACTAACTAACCAGACCTCATTCAAGTGTTTCCTGAAACATCTCAGAAAAATGGTTATGATGGTGATGTTTAACCACTTTTCTGCAAATTCTGCCTCAAGGGAAAAAGCCTTTGAAATCCTGCATAGTGTGAGGTTCATGTGTCAAGGACCTGCTAAGAAAAAATAAAAAAAAACTCTGTATATTGTGGGAAAAACTTGAAAGGCAGACTATACTCTTTCAAAACACAGAGCATACCTTTTGTGGAAATGACCTTGACAATATGTTTTAAAATTGAGCATTTTTAGGAGTTCTCCAATATTCCTGTTTAATACTGATTTCCATCCCTCATAAACTCTTCTGCAGTTATGGCCACTAACTGACCAGAGATCAGCAATGTTAGCAATTGCTAAAGGGCTGGTTATACTCCCTGCAGCAGTGTGCTGCAGGTATGACGCGGATATTTTTGATCACACCCAATATTGAAGCGTGGTCTGCGCTATGTTTTTTCACACCACAACGTAAGAGGGAAAATTACAAACTAGCTGCGAGGGGCAAGTTTGTGCGACAACGAAGGGACATGAGGGCGAGAAAGAGCGGGGATCCTGGTGAGAAAATGGTCCCAGCATTCTTCACAACTCGCTCTTCTAGCTGGTCCATGGTCACAAGTCGTTTTCCATAATGGCGGTCATACAAACAAGAAACAAGCCGGTATGGTACCAAAAAGAAAATATGGAAAGAGTAGAGCAACCAATTATCGGCCTCCTGTCTGCGGCACTGTCTGTGGTCACCTACAATTTTGGAGAGGTGCACCAGATTGTCTGCGGAAGGGGTGGGGCATATCTGCGTTCACTGCGACACACATGCAGACGACCTAGTTTCTGAGTATAAATCAGCCCATAACACTGCAAAGCTCTGTGTCTTTGTGACTAGAAAGAAACCCAGACATCTTTAAATGTGTTATTGGGATACAGCACCACTATGAATGCAAACCCATCTAACTGTCCCACCATCCACTCAGCCTTCCAATATTTGAACTCACACTGTTGACAAAGCTTTGCTTGCTGTGGTTTTACTCTAAAGTGGTTTTTAAATGCTCTCATTAGCAGTCAATTATCAGGCAGTCTTCCATAAAAGATTAAGGTACTGCATGCACTGTTGTTCTTGTTGATTTTCTCCAATTAGATCAAATGCAAACAAAACATGTTTGTTAATTTTACTTTTAAGCCCTCAGAACTGAGTCAGGATGTCATCAGTTCACAGGTATCTAACAACCTCCTCATAAGGAAGCGCAATGGTACTAAGGTGTGCATTGTTATTTGCTCATCTGTAAAAGAATTTTTGCATTTCTAAAACCATATAATGACCAACCAGATAAATATTACTCATGCTGCTGGGCACATGTCCATCAAAAGCATGAACAGTTTAGATGTAATTATATAAAGTTCTGCTTCCAGGTGGATACTTGTTTTATGAAGCTATTGTTCTAAATTTTCCATTGATTTTGTTGACAGCCTGGTTCAGAGGAGTCAGCATGACCTATGAATATGGATGCAAGCTTTGAATTGTCAGAGTGCACAGCAAGAAATGTGTATGCATCTTTATTTAGATGTGTGCTAGCACCCCTGCATTTGCATATGTCAGCGTTTGTACTTTAAAATCAAACCAAAAAGCTTGATTATGTCAGTGGAGTTCAGAGCATTTAGCCTAGCAGGCTACTTCTAGACCTTGCTGTGATCTCTTGCATTTAAGAGATCAAAGTGAGAAGGAGATATGCCCTGGCTTTTTTGATAAGAGCTGTTACATCCATTGGAGTCAGGTAACTTTGAGTGTTTAGCTGCGAAAAGATTGTTTTAATTGTAATAGAAGAATACCGCAATTATTTTGTTGGTGTTGTTGTTTGAAACTTTAAAGTTAGTAAACCTGGATGATAACATATAAAACAATCACTTAACAATAACCAAGTAATTTCTATTTGCTAAATGACAGATTAAGGAACAAAATAATTTATTTGATCTTCTTGAGATTCAGAAATATTATAGTAAAAAAAAAAAAAAAACTATAATAAAAAAAAAACTATAACTATAAAGTTTTTTATTACCTGATCAAATGTAGTTAGGTTCCCATTTACGGTATAAGCTTCTCTAAATATTTAGCTTGAATTTGTCCCATTTCTCTTCCTGTTGAAGGAACGAAACAGTTTTTAGGCCACATTGCTGAAAAACATGTTTGTTTTGGCCACTCATTGAGCTACTTTGCAACTAATCTGGTTCCATGCTGAGAGTATTTGACCAATTAAAGGTTTTAACTTTCTAGCTGATAGGTTAAGATGTTGCTTCAATATTTCCTTATAGTTTTCTTTTCCCAAAACTCACACATACGTGCACCCAATATGAAGCTGCCAACACAGTAAGTCGTATTTTGGGTTAGGTCTCGTACATTGTATGCCTGGCCTTAGAGCAGTAATTATATCAAAGATGTGAAAAAATATATATACATTTTATATATAAGATTAAAAAAAACCTTTTGGTCTGTCAATATGCTCTATCTTCAATTAGAAACATATTACTTTCACCAGGTTTAATTTCTTTAAAAAAATAATCTTTAAAGAACGTTGGCTATTTGATTATCAATCGATCAGTCGAAAAAATAATCAACCAATTAATCAATTTGCAAAAATAATCTTTAGTTGCAGCCTTGTTTGGATACATCTGCACTTGTTAGACAACGTTAAAGTGACATTGTCTTACATTAATGGGATGAATCACCTTTTTAGAGGTCCACATCTCCTGATGTCTCACCTTCTTTTAGATTTATCCACATTGTTAAACAAAGAACCATTTTTAGGATGTTGCCTACATCAACAGTAGTCTCAGTAAACCCAAAGTATTAGAAAGAAGCTTTCAGGTAATGGCATCATTAGACGAGGGTTTTCTAAACTCATAATATTCTTTGTGCATGCAAACTTCTAAACCTGAAAAATTAATGATCCTAAATTATGTTCTTTTATGTTTGCTAAGACAGGGAGTTTTTCTGATTTATGTCAGACAGTGAGAATTAAAAAATGGTCATGTTTTATTCTTTAACAGCTTTATGCTTCGAAATTTTAAATCTCTGAATCAGAGAACTATTTGACAGATGTAAAAGTCAAATAGTTTTGAGATGTGAGACTAATTTTTAACTGTGAATTAAGTTAGGCCGATAATTGGTTCTAATTGCCAAAAACAGCTATTTTACTTTACACCTGCCACAATTAATTACCATTATTGTTATTTTTTTATTTGATAAAAAAGAGATACCAGTGAAAAAATTATATTTCACAGAATGTATAATTTACCCCTGAAAAGCTTATTTGTTTCAGACTATGGGAAATGTCATTTGTAACTATAGGTTACCACAATAAGAACAATACATCTTTGTGATGGAAACTCACTTTGTTGGTGTAATTTTAGCTGCATAATAACATCAGCTAATGGTTTTCCACAGTCTCATCTGAGCCTTAGCTAAATGAAGACTTCCAGTGGCTAACTGCCAAGCAGCCGGCTTTTAATCAGGCCAGACTCAGCCGAAATCATTTCAAATTTGCATTTCACTTTGCTCCTCACTAACCGTCTGATCACCACCCGTCGGAGCTCTTCCGTCTAATAAACAAAGCGAGAACTCCTTACGACCCTCTGCAGATGAGCAGGCACAGAACTGTGCCAAAAGGAACTGTTGTGTTTGCGTCTTTATTTGATTTTCACCTAATCACAGGCTGGAGGGCAACCAGTTTTAATGCTCTGCAGATAAACTGTTAAATATCCGTATGGACTGGAGTCTGTCAGTGACTTATAGTTTAATTATGTACATGCTTATGCGGTCAGCATCTTCAGTGGAGGAGGCTGTGCTAATCTGTTTTTAAAATGACAATGCCAGTAGTCTTATGTAATGTGAAAGCAGCTCAGGTAGTCGATGTAAAGACAAGTGGATGATTAGTTCTTTAAAGATGAAAAACAAGATCTGATGCTTTAAGCTTAATGCTTCAGCCTAACTGAGTTACTGTTGTCCCCTCACTCTTAGGTCTTTCCTTACTCCCTATAGTGCAGAACATTCCATACCCGCTTACTCTTCCCTTTAATTATTATTTTGTTCATATTACAACAACAATCTTTGTGTATTTGATTTGCTTTTCGTCTAATGGAAATATTAGAACTGGAAAGAAAATCTGATTCCTATTCTGTCTGTTCTTTTTTAGGATAACAACAACAGCTGCTTGCATGATGGACCTCAGGAGGTATCCCCTGGATGAGCAGAACTGCACTCTGGAGATAGAGAGCTGTGAGTACATGGATGGTTTCAGTTCATAAAGCTCAAATCATTTTATTAATTTAATCCAAAGCTTTGATGAAAACTGCAAGCTGGCACTGGACAGGAAATAACTGAAGGCATTAGCCAATACTCAAACAGAAAACCTAATGCCACCGCCTTATGGGAAGTTTTTGTTTTGCTTTAAATTTTGTATTTTTCTACATGAATTCATCTTCGATCGAGCCCAAGTCCCTTGCTGCTCTCCGGATCTAGTTGGGTAATTTTATGATGCAGCAGCTGCAGGAGAACGATCTGTTCTAGAAGTTCTCTTCCTAAATGTGCAGTAAAAAGTATATTTGGCTTTTTTTATTGGTTTCACATTTGATTAAAAGCTGCAGAAAATGCAAAAAATGCCATTTTATTTACATTCTCTTCAACGTTTCATGACACATTATAGGATTTAGGTCTATTATTTTGGATCCTTGCTGTGCTAAAAGACCCAGACATGATTATAGTGATTCCCTGGAAGAGGCCAGCTAATTTTATTTATTTTCCTTTGAAACTTTGGTTTTTATGATGTCCTACGCTCTGTTTTCTGATAGAGAAATATACCCACAGGATCATAGATTTACTTTGTTTCAGTGCGTCTGCTATTCTTCCAACTTGTTATGTTAAAGCTTTTAAAATATTCCTCTGATTGCAGATATCTAGTTTGGGAGAAGAAGTTTATTTTTTCCTAATATATGAGGCTCAACACAGCATCCTTATTTATAAGACATGCTTTCGTATTTTTCCCATTTTAAAGATAAGAAAATCAGTTCATGAGCAGCACCTGATCAACTTAAAAAAGTGAAAGAAATAATACTATAATTAATGCATAAATATTCTCTCTGCTGCCTTTAATGTCCCTTTGTGTTATTTTATTTGGAACCAAATATATTTTTTGAAAATGTATGGTGTGGTGTGAAAATGAAGGTTGAAATTTTGTCAGATTGTCAGGATCTATGGATACTTGTTGAGGAACAAAATGTAGAGATGAAGAGGCAGAGATTATTTCTTGCGAAATTTAATCAAGAAGCAAAACTAAAGATGCCATCATCCAGAACTGATCGACAAGAACCTCAGCACCCAAAAAATAAATAAAATAACAGACACTAGGGAGGAATAAAAATACGGAATGAAGAGAATCCAGGAGTATATATGCTAAACAGAACAATGAATAGAGTAATCAGCTGATTGGGAGCAGGTGTGGAGAGAAGGGTTTAGAAGGGAGCTAGGGGAAAGGAGACTGGGAAAAGGGGGCAGCAGAGAGTAACCAAGACGTACATAAGTGCTCAACTACAGCTTGAAAACAACTAGAATGACACAAAATAGAAATTAAACCATAAATCGTAAATCAAAGCGTAACTTAAATTCCCCAAAAAGACAACTTAAAGAGAACTAAGAAGTACAGAGGGCAGAATCATGGCAGATTTTGCTACTGTATAAAATTTTTTTTTCTTTATTTAAGGTGGTAATAAGTGTAGAAATGTCTTTCTATATGTGGAAAATTGCTCTAAATTGTAGTATTACACTATGATCCTAAGGCGGTCATTTTATTCCCCTAAAGAGATCTATTAAACATCTTACTTTTCAAAGGAACGTCCGGTTCTTAGACGCAACTTTAAACATGTTTCTTTTTTTCTCATGTCCCCAAATGACAGTTGGACGATCAGCAACACTGCATATCTTGGTCTCCTGTGATGGTTTTGACAGATGGTTACACCTTGGTGTGTTCGTGTTTCTTCTGCTGCAGATGGCTATACCACAGATGACATCGAGTTCTACTGGAAAGGAGGCGAGTCGGCTGTAACAGGGGTGACACGAATCGAGCTGCCACAGTTCTCCATTGTCGACTACAAACTGGTTTCCAGAAATGTTGTCTTTTCCACAGGTAATTGCCCGACTGGAATATGTGAAGAGCTAACACATTTTTGCTTTAGATTAATTAATTTGTACAACGCTTTGCTGTATTTTTACAAATTAAGCTTTGGTTGCTTTTGAAGCTGATCATTTAAACATGTTCTGCAAGCCGCCATGTGCTTGCCAAAGATCGATGGGTTGTTCTTAAATCCTTAGAGCTACAGTTGTGTTTGTCAGTAGCTCTAATTGGGTTGAAATGAGGAAATATCTGCCTTTGATGTTTCCCTGAAGTAGCTCAAGTTGGTGCAAGCATGCTGAAGTGGTGCTTAACTAAAACAGGCATTAATCTCTCAGCAAACCTCTTCTCCACCTGCTGGTCCTTCACTGTGAGGTCAAATTTTTACATGGATGAATTGTTATTGTACTATAGTTAAAAAGTGTTCCCTACAAGGTCAGTCATATTAGAGTTTGTTAACATTTCCAGTAATTTACAGCCATTGTAGTTGAAATTTGTGGTTAAAGCCTAAAATAAAACCATAAAATAAATTGGGTTTTGAAGACCAATTTGGTATTATGGTGCTGGTAGTGAAGTGATTTGCTTTTAGAGTCGCCCTAATTTTTCCTGATAAAGCTCCAATAAGGTGTCAGACATATTCCTAAGTGGTTTTGGTTGATTTATGCATCACATGCTTGCTGCTGATTTGCCAGCTCCATAATGCGATCTGGCTGCAGCTTCTCAATTAGGTTCAGTTGGAATTAAGAGACATACAGTGGGCAAAATAGATTAAGTAGTAGCCATTCAAAATTTCCCCTCTTTCCTTGATTGTTCCTTGGCTGGTCCCCTACAATTCCTTTTTAAACATCAATATTTGCACTAAAATATTTATTCTGTCATGATTTGTGGACATTAAGATCTAAAGAGAAGTATCATCTCCCAGTCAGACCCTGTAATATAGTGAAAAGGTGGAGTCAGAGTAAAAAAATATGCACGCCCAGGAGAAGGCCAGTGGCTGGAAGTTGGAGGGGATTTTGCTGGAAGTTGCAGGGAAGTGGGCTGCTATTCGCTGGCTTTTGACTGGGAAGGGCCATTTTGAAAGGTTGCTACTGTAATGTGTATTTCCTGTGTTTTTCAATAAGCCTCTTTAAACTTTCGCCTTGCAATCTTGTGTGCCATCTTTTGCTGTAGCTCATCTGCTTCGAGGTTCAACATGTTGTATTTTCACAGACTGCATGCCTTGGTTGTAAGCAGCCGGTATTTGACTACTATTACCTCTCTATCATCTGGGATCTGACCATCCCCTTTATGCTTTTACGTTTGTTACATTTATGTCATTATACCGTGTCTTGCTGGTTAATGTTTTTTTAATTTTTTTATCAGCCTTCTTTAACACCGAGTAAAACCTCTAAGCAGTCAATGTTTGGGAGTAGAGACATAAATTACACCTAAACAAGCATGAAATATTGACTTCTAGAAATTTATTGTTTAAGTCTTGTTACAAAGCAGAGCATTATTCTTTCTTCGAAACTGTTTTATTTCGAATGAATAGGGACCAAAATATCAACCACATATCTGCAAATATGCAATATATAAGGTGATTGTTTTAAGCTTCGAGGTTTAACATGTTTGTTTATAGAAACTGTTTACATATCAGAAGTAATATTGCATGCTTCCTTATTTCTAAATTAGCAAAATGTCATCACATAGCAAAGAAAAAACTCTTGACCCCCATACTTTAAGATCCTAAAAAGAATAATATTTTTAAAATGTGTATTTAAATTTTTGCAACGGAATAAGAAGCTATCCTGACCAAATTAGCAAGTGTTTTTCTATGAAGGGCCCCATAGAAAAAACACTTCTGTACTGCAGTATACTGTAAGACAATAGGAAATCTAACACATCTGTTACACATCTTCATATTTTTAATCAGAAATATTTGTACAAGGAGAATTTTCCTTAAATAAAATCCACAATTATGCTTGTGATATACCGATTTTAAAGATCAATGATTTATTTTCTACTCAAAACCAAACATAAATGAACTATATTTTTAAATTCAGTACTCACTTATATATTTTTACCAATTAAGGAAAAAGTAGAAAAGAAAACTACTTGCATCTATATTGCTTAGTTCGTTGAGCATTGGATCTGAGGTTGTTAAATTATTCATTCTAGCTAGCATATAACCAGTTTCCCAAAAGGATAATAAGTAGCAGCAAGTGTGGGCAAATATACTCCATATTTTACTGGATCACATATAGTACTACTTTATAGTTTAGTTGGAAAAATTGGTGCATTTGTTTGAGTATTTCATCACTGACAGTAAGCAGGATCTGCTTTATGGTCAAATTGATGTGTAGAATATCCAATGTTAAGATTTTTAAAGAATTGGACTCCAAAAAAAGGTTTTCTTGATGCCTTTTCTCTTTAGTCCTCTATAATTTTAATTGGGCACACACCGTTGTTCAAATAAATAGTGCACTTTCTATATATGTTTTTATTTATGGAGGTGCTTTCTACTGATCAGTACAGAGAATAAAGGCCCCTCTTTTTATCAGAGACTAAACCGACAAATGGAAATCAAAGTTGCTCATAATCTATTAAGCATTTAAAGCTAAACAAGAACACTAGAAGTTGTTTTTCTGCAGGAAAGTTAGATATTGCTCAAATATAGTATGATGAACCAATTAAATAATGCTCATGAAACTTAAAAGCTGTTTTGCAAACCTTGTAATTATATGTTCATCCGTTAAGGAAAACAGTATGTTATACATGGAAACCATTAATGTTTTGACATTGTTGCTGCTTTTAGCTGCTGGTACAAGAAAAAAAAAAAAACAGCTAAAGATTATTTATAGGATCACAACAGTGATTTTCTTCCAGCTCTTCGTCTCTTGGGGCCAGTAATTGAAAGAAAAAGCAACACATACAGAGCAATTTGTCAGGTTCCTGCATATGAAAAACATTCCATGTTGTAATAAATGCCTCAGTGTAATTTGACAATCAGTTTTTTTCTCTTTTCAGTTGATATATGTGCTTAAATCTGACCTTTTTTTATAATGTAATGCGACAGTCCTAAATTACTCAGATTTAATGCGAACATTTACAATGCGATAGATGTTCTTTCCACCACCATTTAGTATAGGCCATGGCTACACAAGGAAGTCATTTCTCCAGAGCTGTGGCGGGAACATAAAATCTGTCTGACATTTAGCCTGTTTTTTGTTTTTTTCCAGCAGAATTTATGCTCAAAAGGCAGAATCATGCCCACCCTGAGAAACTCAATCAGTCAGTTTTGGTTATTTTTAACTCTTTCATCTATTAGTTCATTTTGTTCTCTTGGCCTCATTTCTACCGTGTGTTTACCTTCTTCTTCAAGTTTACCACAATTTTGAGCTGTTTACAGTAGACAAGCGCCTCTGCCAGTCTTGGGAGAATCACATGTTGACGTGTCAAGGCGGGTGGGCAGAAGTGCGCTTGTTTGTAGAAGCGGCTTGTCTCCCTGCGGGTGGAGACCATTGGAGTTTAGTATCCAGTGGTCTGCTGTGCTTACTCCTTGAAGCACATCAAAGGCTTGATGCATTACTGGCTAATGATCAGGTTTCCTCCATTACACGGGCTGCGAGGTGTCCTTTGGTTGTCTTTCTCTCACTCTCTTACTCAGCTTGTCACCTTTCCTTTTTCCTTTGAGCAGCTTCCATCAGTGTAACTTTTCCTCCAACTTAAAAAAGGTGTGCTTGGATGCCAATTATCTTGCTCTCTAGCAAGAAAAATAAGACCAGAATTCGGGGCATCTCATATTTATGTGCAATGAGGCACACAACATCAATTATTCTGCAAACACAGATGCAGACATAGACTTGTGTGTGCATCCACGTAGCCTGTGTGGTCACATGTAAATGCATGCCTGAACAGACACTATCTGCTTGCTGACATTTAACTGCATGTTTAAGCTTCAAGTCACAGATATGATCAGTACTAAAATTGTCATCTCTTTTGTTTTCGAAAGCGCTTGTTTGAAGAACAAGAATATTTTCTGCTATCCATCTTTTATAACTTTTGCAAAGTATGAAATTGTCTGGAGAGAATGTTCCTCTAAATATTTTATTTTTGTCACACTTAAAAGACGCCTTATAAATCAAAGTCATGGCTCAAGTTATTAAAAATAACACAAAGGGATATGACTAAATTCAGCAAGTTTTTTTTTTGTGTGTGGTCATGGTTAACAACAATAATGAAAATATCTTGAAATGAGTGTCACATATGAAAAAATTCTTTATTAAAGAGATATATATATTAATTGCATACTTGTATATTACAGTAAAGGTGAGTGGAAAGAAAAACTGCTGTAGAAAAAAGGTATAGGCCTACAAGCAGCAGAGATAACTGCAGTCATCACAGGTTGCAATAACAATGATTTAATGATTTCATACAATAATGTATGAAAAAATTATCTGTGTTACTGTCCTCTCCTGAAAACTGAAACTAAATCTCTGTGGCAGGCATGTTTATTTGTGTAGAACATTTTAGTAACAATGTAGTTCAGAGGGCTTTGGCTGAATAGAGCATAAAAAACACTATAACCCTAAAATGTTCACTCCTTTATGCAAGTAGTAGATAAACATGGATTCATGACTCCTTGAATGCAGTGCTTCTCATCTCTAACTCCAGACTCTGGCAACTTAATATCAAAATAAAATGAAAACTTTACTCTCATCTTTCTTTTTAGTCAAGGTAAAATGCTTCTGATGTTTCTGGTTCAGGAGTGTCTTAAATAGTGAACATCTGTAGCTCATGTGTACAATTTGTTTATGTGCAGCAGCCTTTGATGCACTGACTCCAGCCTCAGTCCACTCCTTGTCAATTCTCCCACATATCCTTAAAGGTATAGTGGAGGATGTTCTTTTCTGGGTGGATCATCTAAATAAGTGGTCCTCCTAATTGTCAATCACTCTGGTGATATGTTAACATATTGCCGTACTACGTGCTTGTCCCCATTTTCACTTATCTGTGATGAGTCTGACATAATGGAATGGAATTGCAAAGTAAGCTTGTATTAGCAATTAGTAAAAGCAACTTTTAAACAGAGCGTGCACGAGGAGAAATTAGCTGATGCACGCTCTTGCACGCATTTAATAAGCGTTCCCTCTTGGGAGCATGTACATGAATGTGCATGTGCATCTTTTTTTTTTAAGTGGAGAGGGTGTGTCTTTCAAACATTTGAGAAAATCCTCCATTGTACCTTTAAATTTATTTTTTTTCAGATGCTCCTCTCGAGGTTGAGGCTATCACTGTCACTGGTGTACTATTTCCTATCACATGTTTTGCTAATTTCAACTTTAAGAACTTAAGATCTTCTTTGTAGAGGACGTCAATGACCGTCCTCTATCCAGGCAGCAGTATTCCCTTTTGTCTGTTAGGCTCCATTTAGTGACTAAGGAAACCTTAGCAGGTTTTTTAAATTTAGTAGCTAATTTATTGAATTTGTGACAGTGATTAAATGTTTATGCTGAAATTCTAAAATTGAACATTTAATTTAATTTTAAACCGACCACAACAGCCATCAGCATCTATACCAACTTTCTACATAACGTTAGCCAATGTCATCCACCGAACTTATGCTTTAAAATTAGAGAAACCAAACTAATAAGGTAGAGGGTTATTGGAAATGTCAACAACACTTTTTAACACAAGATGAAAGCCACAAGCAGCTCTGCTTTTTTTTTCAAGCCTTTCTCTTACACTCTTTTGTTATGCATCATCATCAGTTCAACTTTATTTTTTTTCCCTCCTCTCCATCCCTCTCTTTCTCAGCCTCACACATGCTGTTCCTCCCACTCACGGATGTTGTTTGGTGTAGCCGTTACAGCCAGAACTGTTCTACACCTACATGCCAGTGTACCTCAGCCTCCTCTTTTCTTAAGCCACTTTGGCTGCTCTTACAGTCAGATTTAGTCCAAAGGAGCTAAAACAAGCTTTTTTTTTTAAATAAGTGTGACTGTCTTTTTATTTTCACACTATGATATATGTAAATGATGTGTTTAGTCCTTTTATAGCTGTCGGAGCTGTTATTTAAGAGCTAAAAATAATACTATTGTCCAAAGGGATAAATATTGTTTGAGTATTTATAGTTTATGTTCCTGTCAGTCAGATTTCTGGATTTTACTGAAATAAACTTAGAAGCCTTAGAAGCTGGAGGGCAGCAGCAAACTGTCAACAGAAAGCTAATTAAATAGTTCTTCACATTTTATTGGTTATACAAACTGTCACTGGTTATGCAAACAGCCACTCCCTTAACACAGCGACACACTTTTTTGAGAACTTTAAGGGGTGTAAATCATACAGATGTCTTACTTCAATTTGGTTGGTTATTTGCATAATCACATTCAGGTATAAAACAACCAGTATAAAAAATGGTTTCTATGAATTAGATTGATGCTACCAATGAAACATGGACATTTATAGTATGATACCCAATTTAAAATCGACTACAGCCTGGAGTGTAAGAACTGAGTTGAGTGATCACCAGGAAAAGGAACAGGTCAATTTGCACTTATGTAAAACAGTTCTGTGAAAACAGGAAGCTTAATACCAATGTGGAAATTGATTGAGCAAAATGGATACATAGAAGCCATGAAAAAAACTAAACAAAAACAACAAGAGTCAAATCTAAATGCAAGTAAGTACCAGACAGAAAAAAAATGTAGAGGAAAAAGACAAGATCTCTGCATTTACCCCAAGTTAATCAAGCAAAATTTTGGACTTTTCCCTCCAAGTTGCCAAAGCTGTAATCTTTGGATAAGATTAGAAAAAGATATCTACCATCTACATCTACCAAGACATTTACCATAAAATTCATTATTAATACCCTCTACCTTATATCAAACTAGAAAGTAGTTCGTTACTTAGGCCTGTTTTTTTCTTTTTGTGAATGCAGGTCTGGGATGTTTTTGGACTATGACTTTAACGGTTCACAAAAACCTGCTCCCAGGAAAATAGCAACCCAAAGATATTTCTCTTTGCATATAAAAAGTAAAGGACCTGACTTTAGCCTTTCCAGGAACAAAGCGCTTGAGTTTGCAAAAGGTCAAATCTTGACTTGGGACTGTCTCGTAAAGAAATAAACAGAGTGGGCTTTTGTACGGTAAGATATTTTTACCCTTACCTGTCTATTAAAGGCATTAGACCTGACCTGGGCATAGGAACAAAAATGCTTATGCACGTTCCTTAAAGTTTTGAGAGCTAACTTTGGTCTGCTCCTCAGACACTGGAGTCTTCGGTTGGACCTATGGCCAAACACAAATGCCTGGAACTGGCTATGCTCCTAAAAACTTGAAACTTCCCTCTCAAAGACTTGCCATTTGAGTAATGGACTCATATTAGTCTCAAAAAGATTTCAAACTTGGCCTTGCCCTTCTTCCTTAAGGTTGCCAGATTTGACTTGGACCTGGGGGAACATGGCACAAGTGTTAACCGCGCTCTACTCCTTTGGGGGGAAAAATACTTTGCTTTAAATCAGCTCCAGAAAGTGTGAGACTTGGGCCTACCTATCAAATACTTAAGACTCAGCTTGGACCTGCATTTAAAAGACTTGAGACTTTACTGGCACTTTGGGCATAATATTTAAGACTTGACTTGAAACTGCCATTTAAAGTCCTCAAATTTTATTTTGACTGAAAATAATACATGTGGCAATGTCTGGTACATCTTTGACAGTTTAAATGTCTTAATTGGATTTCTGTAAATCTGGTTGACTTACAAAGCTGTACACTATCTGTCTGCGTCAAGTCTTAAGTCTGGACTCTGTCACAAGCAGCTGCCGTGGATAACATTTGATATATGGCCCCTTTTTAAAATCGCATCAAGTCATTTTTATAGCACTGTAATTTTATTGCACACACAAGGCACTGAATTGTAATAAGATGCGTGTGTGAGTGGATCCTTTATTATTTTTTTCTATTTTACTAGCAGCTCTCTCTTCATCCAGCCGTACACACAAGTGTGCAGTTGGTGGACCCACGCTTAACACAAGTAGCTTTGGCTGAAAACCCACAGTGCAGAAATTACTCTGTAATGGGTCCCACTTTTCCTCCAATATAAAACTAAAATGGAAAACAGCTAAGAATAGTGGGAGTAACGGGTCATAGATACAGCCTGTTTGGAAATATAATGCCAGGAGATTTCTAAAAAATCCCATATCTTTTATATTAACATTTCATTTGCACACATACAAAGATACTGTTTTAAATTTAAATTCCAGATTAACGCAACATAAAATGCCTTTAGAATAACTTTCAGCAGCAGCCACTGATGAAGCAGTATTTGCTCAGATTCTGTAGGTGAATGTTTAAAAAGTAAAAATATGTTCAAATTTTACTGCTATCCTGAATGTTGCATCATGAAATACGGTTTCAACTGAATGTTTTGGTGTGTGTAGTTTGAGTCGGGAGGAACGGATGTGTGTTGGTGATTTTGAAGAGGATACTTGTTACCATGGTGATAAATTCAGCCCATGCTGTCGGCGTTGCCATGGAAACTGAAACAAAAACATAAGGTGTCCCTGCTTGCTGCTCAGACTATCAAAGTTTAATGTTTTTGGCTGAATTTGTCTTTTTTTGGTGTGTCTGCTTTCTTAATTAGCTCGATTCTCAGATAACCTTCTGACAATTTAATACTATTTATTCCTTACCTAAAATTTTCAGATGCTGCAGTCTTGTTTTTTTTTCTCTCCCTCTCTGCTCAGGTGCCTATCCTCGACTGTCTCTGAGCTTTAAGCTGAAGAGGAACATCGGCTACTTCATTTTGCAGACATACATGCCATCAATCCTGATCACCATCCTATCCTGGGTATCCTTCTGGATAAACTATGATGCATCTGCAGCCAGGGTGGCTCTTGGTAAGAAATAGTCAGTTTTACTTTCTCAAACTACAAAAGAATATTCTTGTTTATTACCGCTGATAATGATGTGCTTTTCAATGTAGAAAATATGGTCTACCTAGTGATAAGAATAAACGATTAAACTTGCAATTCACTTTTAAAGGAATGCTATTTTAGTTCTCCCTTTTTGTAGTGTGACAGCAGCAAACTAGGTCAACATTCTGTGTAGCTGCTGTTGTCAAAAAAAGCTGCAGGTGGAAGTTTGTCAGATTTTAATGATCATGTTACCTGTAATGTGATGCATGGTAGGAACAGTATTGACCATGACTAGTGCTGGTTTCTGCATAAATGTGGTACCAGGCATTGTTATTGATTAATTTCAACCCAAAAAGTCCTAATTTTCTTTTTGTGTATTAAAACTGCACAAAGTAGTCTCTGGATTGTGAAATTAAATGAGAAAAATGTATATGATAAAAAAAAAACATGACAATTCTAATTGAAAAATGTCATGTGGACGTACCTAGATGCTTTGATGGTGCAAACATTTACCTTTAAAGTTCACATAATTCCACTTTGGGATGCATAAAGTATTTGGAGAAGTATTTTGTGCCCCATCAACATTAAAACTTACCATTTTTTATCTGAATTTTAAAGCACATTGTACCACAGCAGACCTGCCATGACAGGGTAGCCTACCAGATCTCACAGAGCAGAAAAAGATGGCATTAATCAAAATGGCTGCCAGGAACCACACAGTATCCACACAATCCATTAAGCTGGGTTTTAGGGTAGTTAAATAAAAACCATAACATGAAGTTTTACAGTTCAGAAAGAACATTCTGATTTACAAGTGACTTTTCAGTGACCAAGGGGGGAAAAATCTCTAACACGAACATATTGGTAGCAGCTTCATGCTGTAGGGATGTTTTTAGGAGTAGGGACTGTGAAAGTGGTCTGAGTCTCAGGAAAGATGAGATCTTAAATATGGGGACATTGTTGAGTAAAATCTCTGTCAGATCGGCTGTGTTTTTAGACTGAGATGGAGATGGACTGTAACCCAAAGCAGGAACAGATATATAATCAAAATGTGCTGAAATGGCCCAAAGTCCAGACTTCAATCCAACTGAGCATCTCTGGTTAGGCTTAAAAATCCGTTCATAAGTAAAAACTGTCCAACAATAAAGAGCTGGAACAGCATATTAAGAAATGAGAAAAACAAAATCCTGATTTGGCAAGTTTATAGACACCTATCCAAAACAACGGACTCTATTTGTGGATTGATTGATTGACTTTATTGATCTCAAAGTGGAGAAATTTACTTACTGAGCACTGATATTAATTTCCCTCAATAATGATGTTAACTTTGGCATGAAAAGGGGGCTTATGGATTGTATATGCTGTGGTGTCCTTGTGCTTTTCTCTTGTCCTATTTGTTGTCTATATCTTTAAAGTTGTACACATGTTCTATAAATGACCTGGTTCAGATTCATCAACAATCCATTTTAATTCAAGGTTTTGAGGAGACAAAACATAAGATGTGCCCTTCAGGGCTTAATACTTTTACAAGGCCTTATATCAGTGTAGCATCATTGACGCCTCGTTTGACAGGTCTATATGTGGTGATTTTTCATACTACTCAGTCTCAGGTGGCCCTAAAACATTGTTCTGTGTTGAAGTATTTACATTGATTATTGGAAGCATTAAAATCAAGTCAAGATTATGAAAAGTGACAGTGTTACCTCAAAATAAGGGATACATTTATAACCAACGTTTTACTGGTCTCCAGCTATAATATGCGGCTGTGCTTGTAAATCATTATTAGCCTGTGGTTCAATGAGAGCCTCTTCTAAGTTTTATGCATGACAGAAGGGCTTTATTAGTGGGCTTTGCCAACACAGCTGGGAAATGGAAATAGTAGTATTTCTTTTTTACTTCAAAATGAGAGAGACAATAGACAAGAGTGTGTCAAGTTAAAAGTAGTCAACTTTTTATCTGGGGCTTATAATATAAGCTTACATTTACTTCCTTAATTTAAGGCACTCAATAAGTATTCACAGGACATGCTTCATGTTAAGAAACTTTGCAGCATTTTTTCAATAATGACAGATCTAACAAGATTAATTGAGTAAATAATGTTTTTCTTGTTTTTTTTGTTTTTAGAACATCCAGCTATTCAACATGCTAGGAACAATTAAATATTTAACATTTCATATGAGATACTGTGACAGTTTGACCTTAGATCATGAACTGAATAACCATTTTTTCGTAGTAACTGCTTTGCTCTGTACATTTAGTTGGGGCTTATAGTAAACAGTGGAGTCGGGAAACAAATAGTCAACTACGACCATGTAAACGGATTCCTGCTTCGGATCTTCAGTCATACAGTATGGATAGATAATGGAGCAATAATGCCTTTAACACGTCATAATGCTTTTTGGATAACATGGTGCTATCCATTACCTTGATGAATCATTTATCTTTCTTTCCAAGTGCTATTTGCTTTCTAAAAGCGGGTGTTTGTCTCTTTCTTCCCTTCGTTAAGACATGCATGCAATATCCGGTCATTACTGCCTGCCTTAGAGTGTCTGATTTTGTGTTTGTGAGCAAAGAGTGAAGGAATACCAGAGATATTCAATTAGTGCCCTGATCCAGGGGTCCACTTAGTTCTCTGATGGACCATTATGAAGTTCTAGTATGTACCTCGATACTAAGGAAGAATGTGTGTGTGTCTGGTGCTGATTCTTCTTTTAAGTCCGCTAGCCTCCTGGTAAGAGCAAAGTAATGATTGGAGGGGAAATCAATTTGAGCAGGCAGCAGGCAAACAATTGGATTGTTTGAAGGGGAATCTTATTTTCCTGAGCAGGTCTGAAGAATTTCTAAGTTACAAATTACCTGTATGCACCATAATCTGGTTGCATCCAATTTTCCACAGACATGGCACTCATTTATCACTGGATCGTATGATCAGTCAATGTGTAGGCTGAAGTTAGGAGAACATTTAGTGTAATTGAAGATACGTATTACAGAGCCTTAAGAAGGTTTTACCTCCATCAAGATCCATTTCCTCTTCCTTTTTTTTTTATTGTCACACTTATACGTTTTAAGTTATCCCCCAGAAATTATATTTAGAAAATAACTTTATTAAACAACAGAATCAGTTTTAAACGAATAATTGAATATATAGGGGTTGGCAACAGCTTACATTATTCAGCAGCTCTTGGCTTTTTTGGTCGCTCTGCGACATCAGTGTTTATGGCCATACCTTAAAAACAGGATATAAATGTGGATAGGACTTGGCCACTGGATGGAGCCTTTTATTTTAGTAGGCTGGGCACACACTTTTTCACATTTTCAGAAACTGTCTCAAAGCTATAGAGATGTTCTCGTAACTCTTTCCAGACCATTTGATGAAAATATTTTTCTTCTTTTCTTGATTTCTTCCCTTTATTCTATTACACCCCTTTATGTAATATATACATACATTAGAAGGTGTGAGAATTTGTGCTGTTTGTTAGTGAGGAAATATCCAAGTAACCAGAATTTCCATTTTATACTTGCTTTACTGCATACAACATGAAACTTCCCGTCTAAAGTGGTGAGATGTACTGCTGGTGGTACACTGGACCGTGATTAGATGAGACTTGATTGCTTAGTGCCTTTGTTTGAGGAATTAAAGAGGAGAAGAGGTTTGGGGACATGTAAGAAAAGGGAGTTGCAACGTGAGCAGTCCGCACAAAATTATGAAAATATCCGTCAAGGGAATGAAGATGAGAGACTGGAAGGCGAGGGAACCATAAGGGCAAGCCAGACCAACGACAGAGAGAGCCGTAAAGCTGTATTTCTGTCCACAGAGGGCAGCGGTGTGATGGAAAAGCAGCTAGGCCCACAGGCGCTCTGCCCCTTGATTAAATTGTCCGACTGGTGAATGAGGGAGGCAGTAACAAGAAAAAAGAGGGAGTGAGAGCAGGACAGAGAGTAACGGCCCAGCATTGGGAACACTTATAAAGAGCAAGGGTGTTGTTAAACACAAAAAAAAAAAAAGGGTGCCATCCAACCGCAGCATCCAGTAGTGGCTGAGAAATGAAGTGTGTGTACATGCACGATCGCATTCACACATCCATGCACCTACACATGTGCAAGTGGTACTAACCTTGTAATGTGCCAATAAATCACACTAAGAGCTACATTGACCTTAGCTATCCTGCGCTCTCCTCCCAGCCCTCTGACTGTTTCCTGTCTTCCCTGTACTTTATGACACTCCGACACCAAAAGTGATGTCTATGTGTGTTATATGGGCACCCACACTGCTGATAGACTCCATTTATTTCCGACGTAAGTAAATGAGGTAGGGTAGATGTGGTTGTCCTATATTGATATTGAAGATGCTCTTATTGGATTGCAGTAGGTTGACATTTGCATGAATGTCTGAGATACAATCTCTTACTTAAGTTTTCATTGCCCTTGAAATTTTCTCTTTTTGTTTTGTTAAAGCCAACTGAAACATATTTCATTGGAATTAATTGTTCAATCGTTCGCCGACACAAATCCCAAAAGTGTAACATGCATATGTATTCAGCTCTCTTGGGTTAAACGTATAGTGAAGGATGTTCTTTTTCCTGGTGGATCATCAAAATAAGTGGTTCTCCTAATGGCAATCATTCTGTTGATATGTTTCCCAGCATGCACACTTTCAGGTGTATATGTTTTGTGAGCTACAGTTTCAGCCAGTAAAGTTCGCCTTTCTCACCACAGTTCCTTAAAAATGGCAGAGGGTCATAACTGAAAAAGTGTCTATGAAGTGTTTGAGAAGGGAAAGACCTCAGAAGAGAGAAACCAAACCAGAGTGTTTTTAGAAGAGTCTTTCACACTATGGAGTATACTGAAAACACGTCGGGCCTACCAGTCATGCCTCAGTTGCGAAGTTTCTACTCAACAGGGAAAGTTTGGCATGTTATTTGGAGAAATCTTATTTACATCATTGTTAGCAAAACGATAAGAAATTGGCTTGTGCATGCTCTCGCACTCTTCTCTGGAGCGGGTACAGGGTTGTGCATGTGCATTTTTTAAGTAGAAATTCGCAGAAATCCTCTACTATACCTTTAATACTTTGTTGGACCATGTTTTACTGCAAGTCTAATCAGCTTTTTCAAAATAGATTGATTAAAACCCTATAAATATCTTTCATCAGGATTAGATTCAGGATTAGATCTGGACTTTGACTAGGTCGTTTCAAAACACAAATAAACTATTTTTATTGCTATTTCTTTTGCCGCTTTGTTTCCTGGATTTACAAATATTTTGCTTTATCTTCAATTCATTTTATTTATATAGCGTCAATTCACAAAACATGTCATCTCAAGGCACTTTACAGTTCATCTTCTACCCTTTAACTCTGAACAGTTTCTCTGCTGAGGAAAAGTGTTCCCAAATTCATGACTATGCTACAGTCCCATAAAGTCCTTTTAAAATAAATTGAAGTCTAACCTCTGCCCTAATTTTATTCATACAAACTGATCTGTAACTATTATCTTGTGTTATTAATGCTGCACGGTGACTTTTTCCAAGCTATTGTTGATGCTGATGTGTGTCAACCAAGTGCACTTATAGGCGTCTTCTCCTATCACGCCAACCCACCATGTGTGACGGTGCCTAATACGTGGAGAACTATGTTTTAGCCTGACAGTGTAAGGTTAGCAAGAGCTTGGAGCTAGGTACATGCAGCACTATTCTAATGAGTTATTTCCGCCGGATGACCGAGGGGCAGTGGGATGTTTTTTGAGGCAGACCTTTGAATTTCAATGAAGCCGAAGTAAAGTCCATGCATATAAGATAAAAAATGAAATGGTTAGCAAATTATTTTTGGTAAGTTTTGGTTTGCTTTATGTTTCTACTTCTCAAAGGGTTTCTATGCATTTTTGAAAAGTAAGGAAAAATTTTTTTGTAAGATCTGGATAAATATGGAAAGACTAATAAAGTTTGTATTTTCATCATCTTTCCTTTTTTCCAGATTTGTCCCATTCTTTTCTTTCATTGTGTCCACTCCTCCTGCGCTCACTCATTCATGCCTCCTCCCTCTTTAGTTTCTTTCTTCTCTTGTACTCTTCTTCTTAATCAAAATGGCCTTCCTTCTTTTTCTTCTGTCATTGTGTCTCGTCTCCATGTCGTCCCCCCTTTTAGTCATTTTTCTTTCAACCCTTGAGTCTCACCTTCCTTCGATCTGTCCTTCTCTTTTCTTGTTTTTTGGTTTAAGAAGGCTCCATATTTAGGCTAAAACTTACATTTGATAAGCTTCCGTTTAATGTATTGTTATTTTTCATTTAATTTCCTAACATTTGCTTCCATGTTACCATAGGAATCACTACGGTGCTGACCATGACCACCATCAACACCCACCTGAGGGAGACGTTACCCAAGATTCCTTATGTTAAGGCCATCGACATGTACCTGATGGGCTGCTTTGTCATGGTCTTCCTCGCCCTCCTTGAGTATGCCTTTGTCAACTATATATTCTTCGGGAGAGGACCTCAGATGCAGAAGAAGTTGGCGGAGAAAGCAGAGAAGGCTAACAACGAGAGAGCGGCCAAGTACGATGCAGCACGGGTAAGATTGGCCCAAACCTTGACACGCCTCACATTACAGCATACAAAGGGTTCCCATTTATTTTGAAAACACTGAAAAAGTTTTGCACTCACTAACTAGAAACATCTAATTTGGAATCATTTTTGCAGTGACATTTAAGGTTCTCGAAATTTGCATGATTGTCATTTCAAAAAAATCAGAATAAATATAGCAATCAGCATCAAAAACAAGCATCCTGATTACTTTAATGCTTTCTTTATTTCACATTACAAAACCACATATAATTATGCAATATCCCCTTATTATCAGAACAAGTCTGAAGTTTGTCTTAAATCACGACGCTGTCGCTTACAGTTATGTACAAAGACACAGAGAAAATCCAAAAGTGAACATAGCAAGAAGAGAAGATGACGGCATTCCAGGCTGGTTAATGTTCCATGTATAGTTTGACAAAGTGGATTTCCAGGAATGTGTCCCCAGATGTGGCTGAATATTTTCATCTCCTCAGGAGGCAGGTAGTAGGACCGCATCCCTAAAACGGTCCAATCAGATTAAAGGTCTTCGCCACTCACGCTCGGTGAGTTATTCTTGCTTTTATTTCTCCAAATGAGGATCTTCAATTTCCTCAAGTCAACTCCGCCATCGCCCATCAGCCAACATGGATGTGGTCAACATCTGGTTTTTGCCTTTGTGCAAAATATCTCTATATCCATGTGAGAAGAAAAGGCAAAAAAAAAAAAAAACATCTCCATGACATTTACCAAAGTGACGTTCATGCTTACATTGTTGGAACTGGTGATGCCGTGTTCTCCTCTCGTAGCTCATTCTTTATGCATGCTGCTTGTAAAGGCTCTCTCATTGAACTCATCAGAAAGTCATTTTTTATCACAGCGCATGTAAGATATGGTCAGCCTGACTTCCTTTAGGTAGTCACTGCAGAGGTCCCTCATCAAGCATCTCTCTACACTTGAAATGACCACAGATGATCTTGCAGTTAATTAGTGATCTATATGCACAATGAGAGACACTGGGAGACCCTACAGCACCCTTATGGGGTGGTGGCAGTCCCTTATTAATTTTATTCATGCTGTTTTGTGCATGAGTTTGTTTTTTCTCAAGAAAGTACTTAAAAGATGTTGCTGTGGAGGTCAAAACACAAAGGAACAATTTCTAAGAAGTCTGTCTCTATATCCTTAGAAATTCACTGCCTCTGTCATTTTATCTGACAAGTGGATTAAAAATATATGCTTTATTTTTAATTAGTTACTTTGAATACTAAAACAGCTTGATTATATTTAGCAACTATATCCTTATTATGGGTGAAATGTAAAAGATATTAATTGGATATAAAAACTCTTCACAAATCGGAGGATTTTTTTCCAATGTTTTTGCTGAATTTTGTTCTCTCTGCACAGATAAAAAATTGTCAGCTTGGTTGTTTAAATAGAGAAAAGAATGGGTCAGTGTAAGCGGCAGGACCATTTTAGTAGGATAAACAAAATCTCATTGTTTATATCAAAATATTTTATCTCCAAAAATTGAAACATCCACGCATCTAATTGCTTTTATCAAAAAACTGAAAATAATTTCTAATATGCTATGAAATGATGCTACATGTTGCTTGAGATTTTCCATCATGTTAAGTAACAAAGATGTAAACTCTTGTGTATTTGTCTCAAAGCAGCACAATCTAAAAGTGTGTTAATCGTTTGTATAACTTTTTTCTTTTATAACTTTTCCAACAGTAATTTTTATGTATATTATACTTCAATAAACTGTAAAACACATTTGAAAACTGTTCAAAAATGGGTAGATTTAAATAAAACTCAACTTTTGTTTTTCTTTAGCAAAAATGTGGGACTTCACCAGTTGCTACATTTGCATGAAGAATCAACTTTCCACTCTTCATTTCTGTTAATCTGTTTTGTGGAGCACTCTTCATAGGCATGAATTATGATGTACAGTGTGGTTTTTTTTGTGTTTTGGATATGTTTTAGATCGTATTAAGAATCAAGAATAATAGCCCACCAAATGGACACCTTGCAGTTATGAGTGCTTTAATAACAGTTACAAAGTTTGTGCCTTAATTGTAAAATGGTAATTACACCAGCTAATTTTTTTAATCAGTGTTATAAATAGGGATCGGCAATTATTTGAAAACATGCTGATAGTGGAGATTGATTATTGAATTAACATTTTACTTGATATACTTGAAAATGTTCTTAAAACGCTTCTACAAGGGTGCTTTAATATTAACTATAGACTTTTTATAGGGTCTATGGTATTTATATACAGATTTTTTTGGCTTTATTTTGTGGTAGATGAGTTGAGGATAAATTAAGTGGGGGTTTAGTATGTCTCTTTTATCTCTTGAGCGTTAAGTTTGCTCTTCTACAGTTCTCTTAAAGTAAAACTACTTTATAGAATAGAATAGTATAGAATAGAATAGAATATCCCTTTATTGCCCCTCAATGGGGAAATTCTGGTGTTAATAGCAGCAAAAAGATTATCGAAAAAAATTGTTGCACAAATGTGGACCTTAGAAAAATTTATAAGAATAACATAATACTAAATAATCAAAAGATAAACAATAAAATAGTGTACTGTAAAATGTTTTAAAAACATATAACTGTTCACTTGGAGAATAAAATAACCAACATGCAGCTATGGACATTATGTTTAATAACTTGAAAAGCTTTATCAAATCTTTCTATAGAGCTATCAAAATGTTTCAGCAAACATAAAAAAAAAGAAATTCAGTAGAGACAGAGCAGATGTTGCATTAACCTTAATGAGAATGGTTTGAAGAAATGGCCACTTATAACCAAAAATACAAGGAACTTTGTGGCAGCCTGTGTATCTCTAAGATGTCTGGACAAGTTTACTGTATTTTGAACATTGATTTTTGATCTGTAAAAGTTCTAATGATGCAAATAAACAATAAAAAAACTCACCAGAGACTAAAACCTTTTAAATGTAACTAAACAAAAAAAGAAATCAATTTCTGGTGACTACTTTAAATAAGGACACCCTCATTTTATTTCTAATTGAAATGGCTAACTTGACATTTAATGCTATGCATTTTGATGGCCTGACCATTTTAAACCTTTGACATTTAAGGGATGAGAAGAAAGGAGGTAGCAGCTTACCCCTCAGACTCATCAATGAATTATTCTCCTTTTTAAATGGAAGACATTCGAGTTGACACGATTACTTATGTGCCTTCCTCCATTGTTTGATCAAGTCTATTCTTCTGTCTTTTGACAGATGACAGAGAAACACTTGTCTATTTTGAAAAAAAAAAAACATGAGTAAGACAGGATATGACCCACAGGAGTTTTATCAGATTGGCTACATTTCAAAATAAGAGGGTAGCTGTTTAAACAAACTAAGAGGAAGGGCATTCCAACTTTTTTTGTGAGAATATCCATGTATTATATCTTATTTTGGGAGATTGGATATCGATATGCAAATCTTAAGGTAGGATGGTGTTTCATAGACTGTCCTAGATTTTACATAAGTTCATACTCAGGGACAAAATCCATTGAGTTCTTTTAATCGTCTCATTCAGGCCCGTATCATGTTTTAACAGAAAACCCTTTCGTACCAAAACAACCACTCCCAGACTGTTTGGGGAAGTTGGTTTCTTTACAGTTTTAAACAAACTCTAGACTGGCTTTTTATGATGTGGATGTGATCTGACCTGGATATTATTCAAACAGGTCTGGGCTGTATGATTCAAACTTGATCCAAAAACTTTTTATAGCCATGGTATGGTAAACAGACTAAGTCAAGTCTACATAAAGCACTAAGTCCTTTTCTCACATAGGTTCCAGTTAGGACCACCTATAGTGGTATTTGTGGGTGGGACAGCATCACTGAATAAGAGAATAGAGGGGAATACAGAGGACTTGTATTCCTCAAGATCAGGTTCTCTCCCGTCTGAGTGCCTCAGGCCTGTAAGGCGGACTGATAGGCTTGGTCTGGGAAATAAGAGTTCTGTTGGCAGAGATCAGCTTCACAAAAAGGTAATCTGACATGTCGGACTGCGGAGCAGTCTATGCCTCTGGAAGTTTACAGTAGACCTGGTCCAGTCAAATATTTAGTAAATAATTTCAATGGATGGATGGATGGATCCTAAACAAAAAAACGACTTAAGCAGATACCAAAGTTTTTTTTTTTTTTTGAGGAGCTCAACATAGCTTATGATCAAACTATTATCAAATCAACAAAATCCTGACAGTTCTTTGCTATTTCCATCCATTTTTTTCCTTCTTCTTCTTAATCCATTCAGGCGGAACCGCATGGCCACGGAAACATCCTGCTGACCACGTTAGAGATCCACAACGAAGTGGCAGGAGGTGAGATCACTACCAGTGTGGCAGACATTAGGAACTCTCAGTCCATGGTGCAGTTGGACAGCACGGCTTCCTCGCACATCCAGTACCGCAAGCAGAGCGGCGGGGTTGGGCCACGCTCTGCCAGCCGCCACTCCCTGGACCGCTCTGCCCAGATCAAACGGAGCCGCTTACGGAGGCGATCCTCTCAGCTCAAAATCAAAATCCCCGACCTGACGGACGTGAATGCCATTGATCGCTGGTCTCGTATTATCTTCCCGTCCGTTTTCTCACTATTCAACCTGATCTATTGGCTCTACTATGTCTGATCCAAACTGTTTTTGGTGTTCATTATTGTTTGATTTTGACTTTCATTTCATTTGTTCATTCTCCTTTTTTTCTGTTGCTTTTGTACCTGATGGAACCTGTCGAGTCAAAGACTGCAACAGAGCAAGATTAAAGAGAAAACACTGACTTAAAGACTATTATGTTTTGGACCAAGTTCTCATTGAAATTGTTTTTTATATATACATACATATATATATATATATATTTGCAGTCTTTGAATCCTGAGCACTGAGGTCTTTTTACTTTTTATTTTAAGTATGTACTGTAATTTGGACTTGTAACTGTTTTTCCCCAACATATGCCCTTATTGATAATGTGTATATAGTAAAAAAAAAAAAAAAAAAGAAAGCCAGCAAATTAAAAAACATATATTTGAAAAATATATTTAAAAAAATATGCGAAAGCAGTTAAAGTCAAGATTTTTTTTTTTATTGAAAGTTGATCGGGTGCAGGCAATATCTAAAATTAACCAATTAAAAGTGGTATGCTATGCATTTTTAAAGTAGGCACAGTGTAGAAACAGAATAACATATGCATTTATAGTGTTTATAATACTCTTGATACTATTTGCAATTTCCTGTGCATTGATCTGGTAAGCAAAATGTTTTCAATCTGTTCTTTAAGATGATTTTTGTCTCAGGTTTTGAATTTTTATTAAGTTTGTTGGGGACAAACACAAAGAAAATAAGCACAATTTATGAATAAAACTGCCGTCTTTTCAGATTAAAAGCAGAACTTCATGTGATTGCATGACAAATTTGCACTCAGATTTTCAAAACTTGCTTATAAAACTTTTTCTTTTATTTTACTTTCTATTCAGAACAACTGCCAATGGCCCTTTGGGGCAAAACTAGTTACTATTTAACCCATAAAGTATTATGATATTTTTGTACTCCTTGTCTTCAGGTATTTATTTTATTTCCTAACCTACTTTGTTTTATTCAAGACCAGTTCGTTTATTGTGATAGTATGGTGGATTTACATTTTTTTTTTTGTACATAGGTGTGTATATATGTCTATACATACACTATGTGTTTAACCCAAAAAAAAAAAAAAAAAAGAAAACAAATTTTGTGATTGTCACTGACTCCCAGTCAGTTTATTTCATGGGAAAAGATAGGGGTTATTGTAACAAGTCAGTTCAAGCATCTTATCCATTTTGGAGCATGTCTTAGCTCTCTGAATTCCTTACTTACAGCTACCCTCACAATGATTCAAAACCCGTAAAGATGTGTAAAAAGGAATAAAATAAATGTATCTTTTGTTGCAGCAGCAACATTTAACAGTGATGAATTCTTAAAAAATCTAACCTAAAAGTTTCTTTTTTTTTTGTTAAGTCTGGATAGGATCCATGTTATGAATTAATACTTTTTTATTTTTTATTTATTTGATACACTTCTTCATAAATTCAAATTTTTCCATCTTTAAAGACTTTATGATTCAATTAACTCTAATGATGGCCAGAGGCTTTAAAAATATAACAAGCCCACAGACTGGCAAGTCCTTCACCATGCATGGCAGTTGGTGTTTCCACAAATTCCCCCCCTTTGTTTCATATCCCAAACTGTACTGTTAGTTGTTAAAAACCTTTTCCGAGAACCCTTATAGACTTGCATTTTGTTCACTTTTCTTCATCTACTTTTTACGCCTTGTGCATATCTAAAAGGTCCTGACATTTATAAGAGGGTTACCCACTGATCTACCTTGGGTGGCAGTGATAAACGTATAACAATATCACCTGTCTCAAAAATTTAGAGCATTGGGGAAAAAGTTGACATAATATAAGACAGAGTAAAGGCAGCGCGGAAAAGTGTGAGCAAATGTAATAGAGGCACCAGATGTTCTAATTGTGTCTTACATTTAAAATATCCACAGTTTTTGTAGAATCTGAGGCAGATAATATGTTTGATAAGCTTTTCAACACCTTTACTTGCACTTATCAGAACATCCTACATGAGGTTCAGAACACACTCATACTAATGTTGAGGTTAATATTGGTGATTGTAAGGCCTAGTTTATGCTCAGAAACCAGGTCGTCTGTGTGTGTGTGTGTGTGTCGAATTTAACGCAGATATGCCCCGCCCCTCCATTCCGCAGACACTCTGGTGCACCTCCCCAAAATTGTAGGAGATCACAGACAGTGCTGCAGATAGCTTCGAAGGGAGGACAGAAAGGAGGCCTCTGATTGTTCAATTTTACATCCACTCTACACTATGCGTATTTCCTGTTTGGTACCTAATGGCAGAAACTCTGGTTGTAGTGTTGTCCACAACATCTGGCACACCTCAGACATTATCCGAGACATCGCACAGGACGCTAGTTTGTAGGTCTCTGTGACGGCCTGTTGGTTTGCACCCGAAGCCAAAACACGTAGCGACAAGGCCAGTCTTTGGGGAACACTCATGGGTGAACTGTGTGTAGTCTGGTGTTGAATGAGGGGTTGTAGAAGGCAAACAAGCTCGTCAAACCCACACACGGTCACCCACAATCCTAGCTAGTTCATGATTGTCCCTCTTGCGTTGTGGTGTGGAATCACATAGCGCAGACTACGCTTCCAAATTTGGCATAAATCAAAAATATCTGCATCATACCTGCAACAAACTAACTGCGACACAGAGTATACAGAGCCCTTTAATCACACATCTTTAGTTCTGCGATCCTAGGTTGTACGCTTGGAAAGCACAAAAGATCCATGCAACCTAAAAAGTTACAGCAGAATTCAACTTCCTTTTAGTATCAGTTATTGTTGAACTGAACTAATGTCACTGGATAGTGTTGGATGATATAAACTCCACTGTTAGCCTTAATACATTGTTTGAATTTGGTTCTTGCAAAACAAAAAGTCAGTTTCAGGGCTGCAACTAACGATTATTTTGCAAATTGATTAATCTGTCAATTATTTTTTGATTAATCAATTAATAATCGGATAGTAAAAGGTTCCTTTAAAAAGGCTTTTTTTTTTTTACATCAAAACTGGTGAAACTAAAAGATTTCCACTTGAGGAGTTCTGGATAGAGCATATTACATTAAACATGTTTTTTAAATCTTAAATGCAAAATGTTTATACATTTTTTGTTTTTATTTTGATATAATTACTATTCTTAGTGGGTTATTCTGTCAGCTAAAGGCATGTTTCAAAGCCCTTTTAGTTTCATCCAAAAAAAGCTTGTGATTCAACCTAAAGCCACTAATGTTTTAACAACATCTGTAATAAAAAAAAAAAGGTCAAGATTTGAAAACATTTTATCACACCCTGAAGTCCAGGATAGCACAAAATGTTACTGTGGTGGGTAAAAATGAAAAGCGGTCTGTTTGGGTAAAAAAAAAAAGTAAATGACTAAAAGGCGATATGACCAGTTCTATCATCTATAAAGGTACTCAAACAAATAAATGATTCATTTATTTTAAGACTTTACACACATCTTTATCACAGGCAAAATTCTGGAGTTCCACTCCATCTATTGTATGTACTGAAAAGTGAGCTCTGCATTTGTTGCTGAATGACGCCAATAGATTTCACAGAACACAAAGATGGCCCACGATAACCAGTCCGTCGGGTAATTTTAAGCACATACTAGCATTGAATGTATCAGTTCCATTTTTCAGGGAGAGGATAATGAGCCATGGTCATCATTTCTCCATTAGAATGTAACCCACCCCTTCTGACATTGCAAGTGATTAGAAGAAATGAGGCCAGGGACTGATTTTTTTTTTTCCATTTTGCATGTGTTTGATGAGAAAAATAGACACAGAGATGTTGAGATTGGAGTGCATCTGTACACCATTTATTTTCTGTGCTGCTTGCTGAGCTGTGGACAAATGTCAACTTATAACAGTTTTGTGGCTTAAAATGGCTCCTCTGTCTGTGCTTTTTTTTCTCTGGCAAAACTGTACCATTCCACCTTAGGTCGCAAAGCAAACAGTTACAACCTGGTTGTGCACGTTCAAAGCAATTCTGTTCATGCATCAGATTATGTGCATGTATGAGAAGTGTTGAGTAGAAAAAAAAACAGCATACTTGATAAGGGTGAGTTTGGGCACAAAGAAATAAATAATTGTAACATGTACAGTCTAGAATATGACAAAGAACTGAATGTATAGTACTTGAATAATCAAAGCACAAATGTAATTGGATTTCTGGAATAGTGATTAAAAAGGGGGCCTCAATGACTATGTAAAGGAGGTCCATTTTCTACTGTGTAGAGGTGAGAAATGAACAGATGCCAGTCATTATTTAAAAATAAATGCTATGAAAATAAAGAAAATAAGACGAAAACCTTTAACGACTCTCAAGGAATTACAGGAAAGCTCGGCCTCACTAGCCGTTGGACTCTATTCTAAAAAAGTCCAATTTATCTGGAAATCAGAAATACTTCCGCTGACTTTGTGTGAGATCTGGCTACCTCTAGAATTTGATACGTACTGTAAGAACACAACGTAAATAAAACAAAATAGTTTATGTTGTTGGCACAAATTCTGTTTTGTCTCCAAGTTTATAAAATTCCTAGAAACAGTCTGCCCAGAGACATTTCTAACTGGTGTGTTTACAATTGTAGTCTTTATTGTGACAAACAATAACTTTTTCTGTGCAAGTTGATATTAATGATCTTCCAGGCAGAGAGGCTATTTCAATTTAAACTACTGCTTCTGGGTTGTATGTTGAGATTTTAGAATGGTTTACTGTATGAGTTCTAATTTTATCAAACTGCAAAGTGAAATTGTGTATTTCAGGATACGGTTGTTATAAACTCTAGTCTACAAATCTTTTTGATCATGCATGCAGCAACTTTTACCTTGGAGCAATCCAAAGAAGATCTTTTAAGCAACACTCATTGACAACAGCTGCCAACTGCTCATTTTGGAGATTACTCTATGCCACGTGAGCCTACGTTAAGAAGAAAAAAAAAAGACAAAAAACAGCCATCAAAGACTTCAAGTGTTGTATGGCCTTGGTCCCATAATGGAATGTGAAATGTTCTGTGCTGCCACAAAATGTATTTAGGCTTAGATTTATACTGTATATCCATATGTTTCTCCTTTTTTCAATAGAATACCATGTTATCAAATAAATGATATACATTGTACCTGTGCATTTGGTATTGCAAGCATGCATGATGCGCCATAAACTCTTTGCTTGTACTGTAAAAAATGATGATGCAACACTTTACTGTGTAAGTAAAAGAAATCCTCGCAAAAAATGTTAATGGAGTTTGAAATCAACACAACCAAAGCATAGCTAATATCTAATACATCATCTCAATGACCGTTCAATACGCTGAACTTGGCAAGTCCCATTTGAAAGTTATTGGATGTGAATAAGAAAGTTCATGAATGTAAACCAGAGGGATGGTGTGTAAGGCTATAGTAGTTCCATGGTGAAATAAATTTTGGAAAAGAGAAAAAAGAAAAACAATATGGAGGCTTTATTATTGAGTGTTAAAATGTGCACATTTTATGTTTCTATTAGTTGCTAGAAAAACAGATTTCTGCATTGGTATAAAAGGATTATCTTTTTGTAAAACCAAATGAAAACAAAAACGGTTGACCTGAACCAATATTTGTGTCTTTATAGGTGTAGTTTACTAACCTGACAACAGCCAGATGCATGTCTCGCTCCGCCTACTGTATGTCAGGTTAGTAGTTTACACAAAACCATTGTAAACACAAGCAATACGATCCAGAAATCAACTTAATTTATGTTTAATAAAAACTAAGTTGTCTTTTTACCCCTCAGTGAATTGCATTAATACTGTTGCTTTAAGGTAAACTGCTAAATAATTACCATCGTGCACTGACTTAGACTTATAACTTTTACATTTTTTGAAACTAATTTTATGCCAGCCAGTTTTCATGTTCTTTGTGCTGATGGTTCGGTTTTTTTGCTTTGCCCTTTGCTCCCCTGTCTAATTGGTTCTGCGGTTGATTAACGCCGATCATTTCCATCAGCGCCAGGTTATTTGAGCATTTTGGTGAGACTTACTCTAGCTTTCTGAAGTCTGATAGTGACCATGATCATCTGAAAATAGGATGATTATTAGAGTGAGTCACTTACCTGGTCTAACAGTTCAGTCCATCCTCTCAATCATAGGCAGGATAAGCCGATGCACTGCCAACGTCAAGCCATCCAGATTGTCCCCAATGCAGCAACCCGAGTGAACAGGCTGGACTCTGGTCCAGGACAGGGATTCAGATCAGACCAAAGTAATATTGAAACCCAGGAGTCCGCAGTCTGGTCAGGGGTTCCGATCCACTCAGGAACGGACAGATCCGGGTTCCAGAAATCCATCAGTGTGAGAAGGCAGGTTCAGAGTCATGTGCGTCCAGCGTCCAGCTCAAACAGAAGCGCACCTGGGAGGTCTAACAGAGGTTCAGGCGAGCAGACCAGACAGGGCCAGTGGGTGAGAGGGAACGGAATCAGGAAAACACAATCACTCTGGAAATGCTGAAACACTCTCACCAC